AGAACGAATCGTTTAAGCAAATGAAAACATACATGTACAACGAAGCTCAGCAGCGAGTGAATATTTCGCTTCCCGCACGATCAGTAAACAGTAAAACGACCTGGGAATCCAGGAAATTAGGAACTCACCGATATTCCCTAGCTCTTATTCAGGCAATGGCTTACTGATTTTTTGTGCAGTTTTTTCGTACTTCTCCACATTCATAGAGGGAAAAAGTAATTTGGGTATCACCCAATAAAGCGGATTTTCATCGCTGTTCCTATATACGGAGAAGGTTTATAAGGGCGCCGTTTTCTCTAAACTCAGTTTTCGAGCCAGTTCAGATCATTAAATGATGATCCATATCTGTATAAGATCAGTCAGATCATAGACTCACAACGACACAAAGACCGATAAAAAATCAAGAATTCATCATCTCGGCTTGCATAAAACTTATTACTACCTAAAGCACAATACTTAATTTAAAAGAAAATTGAGAAAAGCGTGACTTATTATTAAAACTAACGGAAAAAGAACATTTGCGCGAAAGAGACAATTCGAAACAAATGTGCATGTAAAAGTCTTCCTACGAATCGAACAAATACAGAGCATAACAAAATAAAAAAGAAAAAACCGAACTAAAATTCAAATTCAGAGATTACCAACAAATCCGGAAGATTCACAGAGGTCAGTGGTCAGCGCTTCGCTAATGCAGCTGCACTATTATTAGAAATGGTAGCTCTTAACAATGAGTGATTGCTTTGGTACTGGACATTTGAAGCTCGTTTGATGAGCTGAACGAATCGTAGCTATCGTCCGATGCACCACTATCAGCCACCTAAAAAATCCAGCAGCTCAAAATTAACATCAATGCAGCTGGACAGTGTAACCGCTACATCCTGATTTAGGGACACCAAAAACTGTATGCTGTATGTTCTAGCAACGCAAATTAAATTTACTATCTTCTGCCGAAAAGACGCTGTCCGCGAAACCATAAGAAATGCCCGCAGAAAGAACTGTAGACGGATGAAATGTGCAACCGGAATTTCGGAAGCGTATCGCTATTTAATTTTTACCCCTGTCAACCAAAAAAGACACGAAAATCCGATGTTCTCATTCGACACTTTTCAGTTCAACCCCTAAACTTATTTTTATCTCAGTCCCGCATCTACCAGTTGATCCTGAATAATACATCCCAGTCACGGTTGAAACGCCCAAATCAATTTTGAACATTCAAGACATCTAGTTCACAGCAAAAATATTGGTAATAAGCCCTGGATAAAATCAACCCCACTACAAAGCAGGACGCCCTAGATTTTACTAAGCAGGCGTTTTTGAACTTCTAGGAAAAAAAAATTTTGGCACGCTCGCATCTTAAGATACTGTATGAAATCCTCCAAACAGAATTAGTAATTTGTCCGTACCGGTTGAGAGTTAGCATTTTTTGTGTCGCTTGCTGGTTGTCTGTGAGCGGCAAGCTTTTGCGCTGCAACACAACGTTTGAGTTCCTCATTTTCTTTCATCAGTCGGCGAATTTCACGTTTCTGCTGCTCGATTATCTCCTGAAATAATAAATTTTCTTAACTAATTTTTATAAATCCAGACTTTCCAGTTGTAGAAAGTAAAGGAATGTTCATGCCCAAAACCAAAAATGTTTGCTTGAACTAAAAGCAACAAACTGAAGAAATCAAATCGGAGCTCCTAATACAAAAAATACTAAGAACAATATGCTTCGAAAATAAAACGCTCTGAGTAACCTGCTGACTGAGACTACGCGAATCCATCCTCGTCCACTGTTTTGCTCCAGCACTGCAAAAAGCAATCATCAGCTGAGAGCATTAGCCGGAAGAATCATCACTGTACTAATCTAATTCGTTTGTTGATAAAAAATCAGGAATTCGAAAAAACTGGAAACCTTGGTCGCTGCTCCGTATAACACCATTTTGTACTACATTCTCGCACTTCTTCATTGCCACCATCAACAGTGGTGACGCCATGCGAAGACCTAACTGGGACGGCCATCAAGATTTGATTATCATCGCCATTGTTACTGACATCCACTAATGCTGGCTTTGCAACAGCGCTGGAGACTCCCAGACTGCGCCCAGTACAGTGAGGATTTGTCCTGAAACATGAAAAACATGATGAAAAGGAATATGAAATTTTTTTTTTTTATTTCCGAAAATCATACATCATCTATCAAGCTGTACAGAAACTTCCCACTAAAAGCAACTTACAAATAAGTGTTTTTTACAATGCTGGAACTTCGGGATTAAGACAAAAAGTTTGCTGAAAACGACTAAATTCAGTTGGAGAAGCGCTAAAATTCGCCGCAATTTTGCAAGATCACGTGGATAAAGATAAGTCAAGTTGACGGATCTCGGACTTATCCAGAAATCATGAAGTAATTTACAACCTCGGCTTCATTGAATGAAATTCTTACCTCGGTAATGAGCTTTTAGGTACATCGTAGACTGCAGTCGCTTCTGGGCCACCGGGATGAGTTGTGGTTCTATACAAATGCTCCTTGTACATGGTGCACGGTGCGGACCGCACACAATACCGGTCATTATCGATAAGCAGTTTGCCGGAATTCGCTGACGACGACGATGTAGACGGGATGCACTCATGCGCGTTGAACATCGGATTGACTAACTGTAAAGCTGGATGATGATAGGGAGCAAGATTCTTCTGTGCCGAGCTACGCTCCACCGGACTGCTGCTATTCGATGAACTCAGGCTGAAACAAAGCAAGTCTGCACCATTTAGATTAGACTTAATTATGCCATG